ATTTGACGAATTGGTTAGAAAATAGATAGACGAAAAACCAAAATAACACAAAAAATACGATGATATATTTCCCAGTGAGAGTGTTAAGATGGCGATGCTTTATTTTTGATTTCAGCAAAATGGAAATGCCTCTGGTTTTCCCTTTAGTGTATGTCTGCAATACCTGTTTTGGGGACAGACTGCGGGTTCCTAGACGCATGGTCAGGTGGAAAAATACTGTACAACTTCGGGGGCAACTACAAAAAATGTCTTTAACTTAATGCACTGTAAGAAATTGCATGTGAAAGATCTTTGAGTCCATTGAGTGCAGTGTGATATATCATGGTGCAAAGCTCATAACTCAGATTCTGGCTATGTGATGATACAAAGTGGCAACAGCAGGGAGAGACGGAAGCCTGTGAAAAAATGTCTAGCTACTGTATGTCTACTAAAAAGATACAGCCAGTTTGAGCCATAGACACAGAATGGGGTATTGAGTAAGAATTTATGGTTTTTCTTTTGCAAATTATAAGATAATTTCTTGGGGGGAAAAGGTACAATGCCTCCCTAGTCACATAATTAGTCGTTTATTTAGTTTTAATTGCACACTATTTTTATTGCAGCTCTCAGCTAAATACTTGATATCACTAGTATATGATTTTTTAGTATAGAAAAGAATGAAGTATGATTTCAAATGATAACTTTACAAAATGATTTGTCTACAAATATTTCAAACATTCCAAAGAGGACATAATTTACCATGTATATATGTGTTGTGGTTTGTTACAATTAGTATTAGCAGAATTGCATATCTTTTTATGTTTTAACCTATGTTGTTTATCATGTTTTTCTCAACCGGGTTATTTTATTTTAACCTTTGTAAAATGAGGAAAAAAAACGTAAACCAGATTTCACTGCAGTTATCTTATGTTTTGGAGTTTGGAGTTTGTCCTTAAAGCAACTCGAAATCACTAAAGCCATCATGACAAAACTGGTGAAGCACCAGCTGCTTTAAATGTGTTAGCAATGGTGAGGGAACTTAAAACTGAACACACATCTACCAAAAATATCATCAAATTATATTGTCTTTTGCTAAAAAACTATTATCTAGAAAGGTAAAAAAACTACAGCTATGGTCATATTTTATTGGCATGACTGTGAACAGTAACTACTATAACATAAACTATAAAACTCCTGTAACTTTCTGTTCAAATAAGCAAATCCAAACTAAAAGTTGGTGCTTTTCCTTGCAAAAAACAAAGAAGGTACTGTAGTTATTATTGTCTCACCCTTTTCTTTTCTTGTCATGCTTTTCCATGTCCATCTCCACATGAAGAAACACCTTTTTTCAATGTCTTTACTTGTTTCGCAAATACAGAGGTCCTAGAATTTTCCCTTTAACATTTATCTTTCCGCATACACAATTTGTATGGATTTTGTACTGTAAGGTTTGGTGGTCATATGTACAGACTCAAATAGAGGAGCAGGGTTAAAAAGTATTGTTGTTCTTATTATTAGTAATTTATAATTATTAATAATTCTCATCATAATCTAGGCACTTTTACATGAGGATGTCTCATTCTTTAGAACCGGGTTTCAACTTTTATAAACATGGAACACACGACCATGATCAATCTAGACTTTTAATCAGCTGAAAAAAAATTAAAATACCCTGAAGTTAATATCGGAAGAGCTTGATTTCTTTGTTTTGAAATGAATTGTGTTTCTCTGCATTGATGAATTTTTTCAGTGTGTCTCAATTCGTAAGTTAGTCCCACGGTGCATATGGCCCAGAAAAAAAATAATACAGTAGACTTGTCTCCTTGGCAAAATATATTTACGCAAATTTGTGCGTGCACAGTTAGTAAGGAAATGATAAATGAAAAATCAAATAATGCAGGCAGGCTTGTAAACTGAAAACAAGTGTGAAGGTGAAAGAAAGAAGTATGAAGGGGAAAGGCAAGTCCAGAAAAGTGTGTGACTTTGATTTAAAAATTGAGATTTTGGGAAGTTAAGGGGTGGGATGATAGTAACCAGTTTGGCGCAGATGTATGACAAGAATGAATCTTGTATTCATGCAATTAGAGATAGAGGGAAGGCTATTCATGAGAGCTATGCCTGTGCTGTGTTCCCTGCTTTTTATTATTGAAGTTTATTTAATCTGTTTTGTACACTGTGCAGTAATGTATTTGTTACATAACTGTCTTCATAACAGTTTGGACTGCATACATACACTTATAATTGATTTTACTTGTTTAAGGGAGGGGAATAGGACGGACTAAGTTGGGTGTTTTGATTATACACAATTCTGAGTACACAGGTTATGTCAGGATCCTAACTACCATGTAAAACGCATGTCTACTCTAACAATAACTAATTGTTAGACTCCTTTTAAGTGTCCTTACACTAACCTGTCTTTCTCTTCTAAACAACAACAAAGATGCATGGTTTTATTGGCACAGATGACTGTTGCAATGGATGCAGTCAAGTGTTTGTTCCTGACCCTCTCAGATCATCCAGTGCTCACAGTAAGACTCACAAGATAATCAAGAATGTTGTTAGCTTCCTTGGTGTTGTCCCATGATAAGTAATGGGCATTATTACTATTTAGAACAAGCTTGAGTGTGGGCATAGTCAAATGACAAGGAGGCTAGCACAGACTGAAAGAGTAGCCACATAAATAAGAATTTTCTTGCTGCCTTGTTGTCACATTCATTTTCAAATATAGATGTGTCCTTCCCATATGCTGCCAGAAGAGAATTATCTATAGATTATCCTATTCAGCACCGTCTCTTAACTTGTTGTGACATCCTGGAAAGGCATCTCAAACAGAGTCAGCTACCCTCATAGTTACTACAGGCGTGGGGTGTGATAACTTGGAACTAAACCATTACAGACGTCTTATGTAAAGTGACTTTCTACCCCGTTCTAACACTTTGGTCCAAGGCGTGTCATTTGCAGATGTTATGTTTAATATTCATAGTTGTAGTGTTACACTGAGTGAGGTGAATTAATTACAAAACAAAAGCAAAAAAATACTTTATTATTCCACATTCAAAGGAAAAGAAACAATTTTTTCTGTATGAACCAGGGCTTTTTTTCAGAGATGTGCAAACCTATTTTGTGTTGAAACATTTTTAGTCTGTTTTCTATTCTGTTATCTCTTAGTGGGGCAATACTTCATTCTTTTATTAAGTGACATAATTCAGATTTTTTTGGAGAGGACAGTTGGAGTATTAGTTAAATGACCCCATTCTTTATAAGCAGTTCATTTTTTTAATTAGTAAAAGGGAGCACAAATTGACGGTGATATGCTGAATATGCGTGTCTACTGGTTTACGTTTATCTAAGCATGCATCTTTAGACTTAGAATACATTGGAAGAAACCTGGTGTAATGCAGGTAGAAAATGAAAATATAAGGGTGGCGTACATTATCCAGACAGTTGATGGTGCCAGATAAGAAACCTTCAGGTAGGTAGGAAGTAGAGCAGTGAAAGTTTTTTTTTCAGTTATTAATTTTAATTCAGTTATTAGTATTGTGTGCTACTTTAAAAATTCAAAATTTTATAATCTCAGATACTACAGAGATATCTCAACCATCTGAAAAACTCCACAGAGGGTCCATCTAAAAAATTATATTCTACAGTACATGTGTGCTAGTAAACAGCTTGATACATAATCTTGATACATAAGGTTGTGTAATGGATTAAGAACTAATACGTTTAAACACAGGATATATTTTCTAGATAATAACAATACCAAAATATATTTTAGTTCTAAGTGCATCTACATAGTAAAACTTGTCAGTTCATCTTTCTATATATCTGTAAGAAATATCTGTGAATATCTGTGGTCTTTGAAACAGGTTACTTTGACCCATAGGTCCATTGAAACTGTCAGAATAGAAAGAAAGACATTTTGAGAGCACTGTAAATGAAGAGAAAGTTATTTTGTGATGTTGCAAAATGAATCTGAGATGTCATTAGTTGATGTTGAGATATCTATTTTATCTCTTCAAGATGTGTTGAAGTCATCTAGAAATAAATGTGAGATATTGATATCTTTAAGTCTAGTTAATAATATGTTTTACATCAATTTAAATATATCTGAAAATTATTTTAAGATAAATTGAAATGCATTTAGAGGAATCTTAACAATTTTAATTTCACATATCAAAATAAAAAAACAAAGACTGAGGTAGTTAAGCAAATTACTTTTTAATGGTTGTCTTGGATAACAATAATTTAAATGTATTTTAATTTTAAAATCATTTTGGATCATTTTGAGATTTTTCTGTTATTAGTACTATGTAAGTCAAGGTCTAAAAATGTCTATCTCCAGTTGTGCTATATAAGTGGTTTGTTTGAATTTTTTTCTAAGGATTATAGAAGTCGTACTACAAGTGTTTGTGGCTATTTATTTAAATATTATTCGGGGTATGTTCACTTTAGACCTTTTAAATGGAGTACACTGTTTTAAGAATATGCCATAACACAAGCCAAGGAAAGTCGCATGCAACATTTGACTTAAGGTAAGTTAGTAATCTCTCATTTATTACATGCATCCAACAGACCTGACCCTAAAAATATTTAAAATGAATACACTTTGATGTTTCACCACAGTTGGTGGTGATTCACCACAGTTTCAAGATTTTCATCTTGGAAACCATTTCACCCATTTACCCCAAAACATCTTTTTTTACTTCTTTAGTATTTTATATATTGTATAAATTGTTTGAAGCTCAAGACTGATTATAAGACTGTCTGAAGTAGTGGTAATGGTATTTGTGATAAATAATCAATGATGTTGAGGTGTCTGATTCAAATTAAAATCCCACTTAATGCCCCCTGCATTAATGCCCAGTTTAAAATTCACAGATCCCTCAAGTACAGCATTTTGTCTGTGAGTGAAAGTGATTGAAGGCAGAGGGCATGTATCTGACCTAGTTCAAAGCATGTTCACAGAGCATTGTTCAGAATTTAACTAAGGATTTGCCTTTGTCTCCTGGTTTTCTGTACAGATGCAAAATGGCGAGAATCGCCTTCCCAGTCATAACATGGGTCCCCAGTATCGGATGCACTCATATTACTCAGCAGCTTCCTACCTGAGCCAAGGATTTGGGAACACAGCCTGCGTGCCTTCAGTTTTCACCCTGGAAGAGAACTCTACAATCTCAGAGCCAAAGTCAAACAGTAAGTGCTGCACTTTACATTGATGCTCTCAAAGGCCCATAAATTTTTATCAAGATTGTCTCAAGAGTACAGGAGAGTACATCTGGAGGAGCTGTACAGTAAACTCATGGGTGCTGTAAAAATAAGACATTACTGATGCTATTTATACTACTCTTCCTGAATTTAAAGAAGAATTGACTAATATCTTATACAATATTTTATAGCAGAAGTTCCACTGGGTACAATACCTTAATTCAGCTTTTAATTATCATCATTGGTGCCTTTATATAGAGAGAACACTCTTTGGAACTTGAAGCTTGTCACCTGCTGGTCTCTGCTTATGATTTTCCCTTGTTGATTTTCTTTTGTTTCACAATGAGGGTACCCCCCACTTTGTCAGGACGGCTCGGCATGAATCATTACAACATGAAAATACGCAAATACAGGGTGGTCTAGTCAGAACTCCGTAAGCAGTTTATAAGCTTGGCATTGACTAGTGCATTAGATTATGTTGTCAGTGACCAAACAAATAACACAGCAATGAGTAGCATTAGAATTGCATGTTTTGTTTGTTGCACATATTGTGCTTACAGTATGAAGATATTTGGTCGTGTCCTTGCTCCCCTGAAATTCTATCATTATAAGAACAAATTTAGAAAGATATTTTCTGAACAAAAATAAGGTGGTTGACGTATTACACTATACTTTTCTCCAGCTGTCAACAATATCTTTGTGTACTGAGGAACGTTTTAACAGGGGTAAAGCAAGCAGTGACCTTGTGTAGCTACACCCTATCACTAACAGAGATAAGCTGTTTTCTGGGAAGGATGCCCCCACCCCATAGTTAAAATAAGAGCCAAGCTTTTTTCAACAAGAGAGGTACAGGCAGTACGATTCGAAGAGCAAGAGATTATTTGATTGGCTTCAGTTCATGAATTTAAGGAATTTGCAATGTATATTATAGGAAATAATAGACATATAGTGTCCTCCAAAGTACTGGGCCAAAAGTCCATATTAGCCCATCATAGCTGTATGCTCAGGAAATTTGACAAAAGCAGAGAATATCCTCTTTTACTTTTGGGTATTTTGAGGGTATGGGGGTGCAAATCTCAAGTACCATAATCTGCAGAAGGCTTCACCAAGAAAAATTTAGAGGCTGTACTGCAAGGTGTAAGCCCCTCATCAGCAGCAAGAACTGAAGGGCTTGACTAGAATTTGCAAAAAAATACCGAGGTGAGCTACAGGGGTTCTGGAACAAGGTTTCATGGACAGATGAGACCAAAATAAACATCTATCAAAGTAACGGAAAGGCTAAAGTGTGGAGAAAAACAGGAACAGCCAATAAGAACACCAGTTCTTCAGTACAGCATGGTGGAGGGAGTATCATGGCTTGGCCATGTATGGCTGCTTCTGCAACAAGCTCAATGGTCTTTATTGATGACTTAACTGAAGATGGCAGCAATAGGATGAATTCAGAGATATACACAAAGATCTTGTCTGCAATTGTAAGAAAAAAATGGCACCAGATTTATTGGGCGGCAGTTCATTATGCAGCCGGACAATGACCTAAAACATACCACACGCTTAACGCAGGAGTTCATCAGACAGAAAAAGTGGAATATTTTAAACTTGCCAAGTCAATCACCAGAGCTGAATCCAATTGAGCATGCATTTCATTTGTTCAAAAGGAGACTGAAGGCAGAAAGCCTGACCCACAAACAACAACTTACAGAGGCTGCAGTTAAAGTCTGGCAAAAGCATCTCAAGTGAAGAAACAGTCTGGTGATGTTAGTGTAATGGAGGCTTCATGCAGTTATTGCAAGCAAAGGATTTGCATCAAAATACTGACATTTTCACTTCTTTAATTTGGTTTAAGTGTCCCACAACACTGAACACTGGACTGAGCACAACATATCTTTCGGTTGCAAAAAATAAATTAAAAATAAAAGGTGACCTTCTCAACTCTGACTCAGAATTATTTGTTTTATGTGAATTTCAATTTCTTGAAAAAGACTATTTTAGATTTTTGTCCCAATTCTTTTGGAGGGCAGTGAACCTGAAATTACAGTTCTGGGACACATTAACACATTATTCATGTGCTACAGTGTGTTATAAAATTGGGTAGATGTAAAAAACACTCAACATAAGCTTTAAAGTTTACAGTGTACACTTAGTAATCTTCTATATTAAGTAATCTTCTATAATTACTTTAATATTGCAGATTGTCTATGGTGTATGTAACCACAGATAATTATTTTATTACTTAAAAACACTGTAGAAACTCTCATAAATATTTAATTCTGTAAATGTGAGTTTGATAGTTTCACCAGGTTAGGCCTAACCACATTTAACAAAACATTTCAGAAATAGGAAATCTACTTTTCAGAATTAGAATTGTGTAATTGTTAAATACTTGCAAGGTTTTTGTCACTTTAATTTTTGAAGTTTCCTAAGCAGTTCTGCTTGAATACTGGTCCTGAAGGTTTAGTTTATCTGTAGGTTTTCTATATCTTTTTAAAGCAAAACCTGAAATGGGAGAAGTTCTTAAACTGTTCCAATTAAGCAGGCAATAAGCTAATGTGGGTTATATATTTTGGTTCAGAGCAGAGTTTAAATGAAACCTGTAGACTCTTGGCCTTCAAGAGCCACAAGGCCTTTCCTTTCAAGAGATTAAAAATATTGATTGATTAAAATTAAAATAGTGAACATAGAAGTTCAGAATTCACTTGCACTGTAGGTTTCTTTTAGAAGGTTCCTATTTCTTTAGTTTAAACAATTGTCAGGGATTTGATAATACTAAATACAGATTAATAGTGTACTGCCAGTACACAGCCTTTATCTTGATACTTGCTGGTCTCCTGCGATCCAGATCTAAATTTCAGTGTCATGGTCGTTTTACTCCAGTACATTTTTTTCAATGTTCTTCAGCAGGTTTGTACTTAGTGTTCCTGTTTGAAATGTTTGTTTGTAAAAGTAATCCTCTGGCCCTGGAACATGCAAGTGTCTAGCTTGGTGAGTGGGCATGCAGTATGGGCAGTGTGACAGCAGCAGGAGAAAGTGCAGTAAGACACCAAAAAGTTGTCATAAGCATTTTCTTCTAGTAAAAGTAATTTTTATGTTGGAATATTGGTTTGTAACTTAATAAAACTGAGAAATGAATGTTCGTTGACACAGTTGTCCCTAATTGTCAATTAGGGAGACAATTATGAAGTGATGACAGACATTCTTCATAAATTCTTTCTAAATACGCAAACCACTATACTTTTCCACTTCTCTAAGAGATTAGGATCCAAATTATTGATCGATTAAATTTAATTGATTGATTAAATTAAAAATGGTGAACAATTCACTTTCAATGCAGGAGTTTTAAAGAATTTTATTTTGGGTTTATTTCAAAAGCCCAATTACCAGATCAGAACGAAGATTAAATGTCTGAAAGGATATTCTTCCTATTTTCTATAAAGGATATTCTTTCTTTGGATTGTTTAAGATAAGCTAGGAAGAACAAAAACAGGCTTTTGTAACATTTTAAGTTTGATCTGATACAGTATCTCTTTTGCAAAGAAGTGTTGCAAGAAAGATTAAAAAGGCAAATAAATTACAAGAGGTACTTTAAAGAGCACTGGACACTGGATAAGCATGCTAAATCATGTAATGTTCTTTTAAATTAGAATAGGTGATAGTTAATACTAGTCCTGTCAATCACATGTATGGGATAGGTGAAACTTACAGTTCTTTTATCTGGCATGTTGAAGCTGTAGGTAAATGTTATAAAGTTTTACTCACCATCCAACAAGACAAGATATATGGATTGATTGTGCTTATAATACCCACTGCTTTGCAATACTTCCTACATCACTTGGCTTGGCACCAGTAAAACATTTCTGGGACAAATCTAAACTTTCACTGCCACCTCTTCCATATCCACCACATTTTTGTTTCTCATTAAATGTTAGTATTTTGTGTCATTTTTAGGTATGCTAATCAAAGATCAGTGACACAACTGTAAAACATTTTTATGACTACTGGCATTGCATATGTTAATTCTAAAAACTACCCCCTGTAAGCACTGCAGTGCACATGTCTCTGTCTCGGATGTTCTAGACAAACTTAGGATTTACAATATTTGATGATCAATATATATATGAGCATCCACCATTTTTTTAAAGCCTCAGCTATTTGTTTTCTGTTAAAACAGTTTTTGACTTTATTAGTAAAGCCCAGTTTGAGTGATAGGAAATTACAATCTTGTCATTTTGCAATATTTAATGCAGATTGAAAACTTTTAAGAAACAAGAGCAAACAAATGTAATTCGATGTATGTTGTTGCTAAGAGATATGAATTAATTACAAATATTAACAACAATTGAAGATCCTGTACATAGGTACAGTGTCTACATCCCTAAGTACTTGTGATACACTATGCAAGTTTATCATACTCTCTTCTTTAGAGGAAGACTTACGTCCTCTTGTGTCAGCCGAGTATTTTACAGTAATTGTTTCACAGCTTAATTCAATCAAACAAAAATTGCAATATCCTTTTGCTTTATATAGATGCAGTTATCAGTACATCTTGTTTGATTTGAGCATATAAAATCCCTAATATAATTTGCATGTTTAGAATATCCATGGTCATGCTGCTTTTCAACACTCATTTATTTAAACATGTCTGATTTGCTGCTGGTAATGTCTTTGCTGTGATTCTTACTATTACATTGAATATTAACTGGAAGACAGCAGTGACTCCTGTAATGAGGATGGAGTGTACCTCTGTGGTGCAGAACCGTTAACATTTTAAAGTCTCCTGCTGCCTAGCTTTGAAGGCGTGCCACATTTATTTTTTCTCATTGCAAGTCATCAGTTGGCCAAATACAGGGCAAATAACCTTCAGGAGTGCGACGCTGTCCTTCTGTTGGCCGCTGTCTTTGAAAATTGCCTCTGGAGTTAGTGAGCAGGAACAGTTAAGATTTACAAACAATGATGAAGCTTGTCATGCGTCTTTCACCATCCATCATTGTGGC